TCTCTCTCTCTCTCTCTCTCTCTCTCTCTCTCTCTCTCTCTCTAATCTTGTAGATTTTACTGATCTGAGCTCAAAGAAGTCATTTCACAGGGGAAAATATAGCCTACATATTATTTTTTCCACAAAAAGTCACAGATGAAACCTGCGGTGCAATTGAAATGATCAAGAAAATGTCCTTTGTTTTTATCCATAGGTCTATCAGATTTTTATTGTTGACACAAAAACACATTTAGTTTTTACTAACAGTACATATTATTTGCTGCCACAGAAACAATTTTAAACAGGACTCATAAAGTTTGGTGAAGCTTCAAGAAAAATGTTATGTACTGAATGACTACAAAAAGGATTGCGACTGTGGAAAAAAAGATTTAGTCAGAGAAAGATTCCTTTAGAGGATTTTAAGGAAAAAATCATTTGGGTGAAGTACTACGTATTTTTTTTATTCCCTTTAGGGAAAAAAACATTGGGAACAGATTTTGTAGCAGGGTGGTGTGATTTTCACTCAAAAACAAATGTGTCTAAGTGTCTGGGACAAATAATACATAGATCTGATGAGGTCAGTTTTAGACAGGTACAAATTTATTTCTAATAATTGGCCATTTTTGGTGAAGAGTATTTCCGCTTTGCAAAAGTTGAATGAACACAAAATCTATTTAAATGAAATAATTTTAAAAATGTCAGATCAGATRGATGAGAACAGCTATGACTCAGGTCAGTCAGTTCAAATTTCTTTAAATGGTCCGATTTGACACAGATGTCAGTGTTGACCATCTTCTGGAGAAAAAGGAAACAGTTTTGCTAAATATAACTAAAATAAACTGAAAACAACAACAGTAATTGCCAACCCCGATGACAAATCCTCCCGACTCAGAGATGCAAATCAAAACCCAGACAAAGAGCCCACGCACTTTACAAATTAGAGCACTCAGAAAAGCAAAGCAGATGCAGTGACTGATTGCGAATGACAAAGCTCCGGACAGGTGCAGCTTTTGTGTAGTTAGAAATGATTGGAGCTGAGCCGCTGCAGCAGATTGAGCCATTCATGGCTGCTACCTGAACGCTGTGACAACACAGAGAAGCTCAGAGAACAGAGGCGTATTAACAACCCAGACAAAAAATAAATAAAAAAGGCAGAGTGCTGGTTATTGTTGTTTGTTTGTTTCTATAGAGCCTGGGGCACGAACAGATTTCACATACTGTGATTATAGAAGAGAAGACGTGAATGAAGCTGTTTATTGGATGGACGGGGGTCACGGGCAGGTGCTGAAACAGCAGTGTGTACTTACAGTAGATGGTAGACAAAAGGCTGGCTGCCTCACAGGAACCTGAAGAGGAAATGACTGGATGTGCATGAGTTGGTAAAACATTTGAATAAAAAAAAAGTTAAAGCGAGACTGAACAGACTGATGCTGATGCTGAACTTTTTTCACACTTTGCACTTTAAAAATTTGCATCTCATAATGAAGCCCATCAATCTGAGATTACTGTCACAATCAAAATTAGGCCCTTATGTGTAAATTTTGTGCTTCAATAAATCCTAAATAAAACTTTTAATTGAACATTAATTTCAGTATTATTTGTAATGCTATTTTTTTTTTCTTTAAATGAAAAATCAACATCTATTATTTGAAGTGAGTTAACTCCATCTGTATTTTCTTAATTATTGGTGCAGCAGAGCAGTGGTTGGAGTCGTTGCCTCACAGTAAGCAGGTTACAGGATCAGAACTCAGCTGCAGAGCTGTCAGCGTGGGTTTATTCTGGGTACTCTGATTTGCTCCCATGCTCTAAAAAATATGCATTTTATATTAACTGAGGATTTCAATTGGTTATGGTGTGTGAGTGGGAGGTTGGATGGTTTTCTGATTTGTATAGAGTTTTGAATGAGGGGCTGTGAAGAGTACTCATCGTTAGTCAGTAACTCACCTGCTAGACAGCAGTAAAAGTAGTTTGTTTGGAGAACTGGTGCCTAGTGAGGAAAAAATCTTAACAATTTTGGTTTGGAGGAAGAGTTAAATGAGCCTCCCTGGTAAGGTCTATTCGGGTGTTCTGGAGAGGAGGGTCCGTCGGATAGTCGAATCTCAGATTCAGGAAGAGCAGTGTGGTTTTTGTCCTGGTCGTGGAACAGCGGACCAGCTCTACACCCTCAGCAGGGTYCTGGAGGGTGCGTGGGAGTTTGCCCAACCAGTCTACACGTGTTTTGTGGACTTGGAGAAGGCGTTCGACCGTGTCCCTCGGGGACTCCTGTGGAGGGTACTCCAGGATGGGGTACCAGGCCCGTTGATACAGGCTGTTAGGTCCCTGTATGACCGGTGCCAGAGCTTGGTCTGCATTGCCGGTAGTAAGTCGGACTCGTTTCCGGTGAGAGTTGGACTCCGCTAAGGTTGCCCATTGTCACAGATTCTGTTTATAACGTTTATGGACAGTGTCGGAATTTCTAGGAGCAGCCAAAGTGTTGAGGGGATCCTTTTTGGTGACCTTAGGATCACATCTCTGCTTTTTGCGGATGATGTGGTCCTATTGGCGTCATCAGATCTTGATCTCCAGCTCTCAATGGAGCAGTTTGCAGCCGAGTGTGAAGCGGCAGGGATGAGGATCAGTGCCTCCAAAGCCGAGACCATGATCTTGAGCCGGAAAACAGTAGGTTGCCTTCTCCAGGTCGGGGAGGAGGTCCTGCCCCAAGTGGAGGAGTTTGAGTATCTCGGGGTCTTTTTCACAAATGAGGGAAGAATGGAGCGGGAGATCGACAGGCGGATTGGTGATGCATCTGCAGTGATGCGGCGCTGTACCGGTCTGTCGTGGTGAAGCAAGAGCTGAGCCAGAAGGTGAAGCTCTCTGTTTACCGGTCGGTCTACATTACTACCCTCATCTATGGTCACGAGCTTTGGGTAGTGACCAAAAGAACGAGATCACAGATACAAGCGGCCGAAATGAGTTTCCTTTGCAGGGTGTCTGGGCTCTCCCTTAGAGATAGGGTGAGAAGCTCGGTCGTCCAGGAGGGACTCAGAGTAGAGCCGCTGCTCCTCCACGTCGAGAGGAGCCAGTTGAGGTGGCTCAAGCATCTGGTTAGGATGCCTCCTGGACGCCTCCCTGGTGAGGTGTTCCAGGCACATCCCACTGGGAGGAGGCCCAGGAAGAAGATCCAGGACACACTGGAGGGACTATGTTTCTCGGCTGGCCTGGGAATGCCTTGGGATTCCCCCGAACGAGCTGGTCCAAGTGGCTGAGTAGAGGGAAGTCTGGATCTCTCTGCTTAGGCTGCTGCCCCCGTGACCCGATTCTGGATAAGCGGCAGAAAACGGACGGACGGAYGCTCAGAAGAGTTAAATTCTGACCTTAAGGAACCAGCAGCTAGAAATGGAGTTGAAACAATTTGATCCAACCGTAAAAAAAGTAAAACAGTTTAATGTAACTGTACAATATTTTGCATGATGCTGCGTTATTTCTAAAGCTTTTTCTGCACCAGATTTTAGCTCAATATATTTTTAAATGGCTGATGTGCAATCATTTATGTGTAGGCTAAATTCTGTTAGTCATGGCAGCCATTTTGAATTGAATTGACTCTAAAAGTAATGATTTATAGATGTAAATACATTAGTTACTTTCTGACTGTATCATTAAGAAGCATCCATTGGTGCAGAATAAATTGTACTAATTGACTCTAAAAGTTAAAGCTAAATTTTTAAGCAAAGTATTTTCACAATGTGTTATTCTAAAAGTACATTTTGGGCACAATGATCAGCTTCCACCACTTTAGCTCAAAATCTGTAACATTAACTGAGTTTAAGCTGTTGTAGTTAGATATTTTGCTAACAGAAAGAGTTTACTCCTAAAGTTAATGACAAAGTATTAAACACATATCTCAAACAATGGTTTAACGATGAGTCGTAGCTGTTGCCACATCAAATTCTACCATATAGGCTGAATCAGTCATGTCTTTATAAAGCTCCACCTTCATTGGCAGCAATAGCTTTTTAATGAAACATTACAGGATTCAATGGTGAACTCCAAAAACAAACTGGTCATGAATCCGACACGTATCCTTCAAACAGAACCTCTCGAAGCTGAGCAGAGTTTCCACAAACAATGCTCAGGATGACCGTCTCTTTCCCCTCCGATACCTTTTCACTCTAAAAACATTACTTTATGCTGACATGACTTGAACAGGCAAAGACTGCTTATCTGTAAGTAAGAGAAAGAAAGAACGAAAGAAAGAACGAAAGAAAGAAAGAAAGAAAGAAAGAAAGAAAGAAAGAAAGAAAGAAAGAAAGAAAGAAAGAAAGAAAGAAAGAANGAAAGAAAGAAAGAAAGAAAGAAAGAAAGAAAGAAAGAAAGAAAGAAAGAAAGAAAGAAAGAAAGAAAGAAAGAAAGAAAGAAAGAAAGAAAGAAAAGTCATCCTTTACAATTGCTATAAAGTGTCACCACCAAAGTGGAGAGAAAGGACTGCAATAACAATGATAGCCCTGCTCACAGGATAAGGGGCCCGATCGAGGCAGGGGCCGGAGGAAATACTCAGTGTGATAAGTGTCAGAGAATGCCCTCTGCCTTTCTCTGTCCATCCACCTCCAGCGGTGAGAGTTACCAGGCTGCGAGCGCTTGTTCTCGCCCCGCTTCGTACTAATAGACCAACAGCCAGGCCAGATAAGATTCTGCTCCGTCACCCCCGACCCCGGTCTTCCTGGTTTCTCAGCACCAGGTATTTGGAC